ACTGCTCCGCGAACTGCATTGGGTACCAGTTTGCTTCTGGGTCCAATTCAAGGTGTTGGTTATCACCTTTAAAGCCCTACGGAAGGCCAGGAGTGAGGGGGCCAATCGCACCTCCGGGGGCAGGATGTTCCAAAGAGTGGGAGCTACTGCAGAGAAGGCCCGCCTTCTGGACCCCGCTAATCGAAATTCTTTTACTGAGAGGGTCTGAAGCATGCCCCTCTGTGTGATCGGGTGGGACAGGTTGAAGTCATAGGAGAGAGGTGGTCCCTTACCTAACCTGGTATAATATACGGTATATTATAATATAATCATATATTATATATTATATATATATATATATAATCATATATAATCATATCAGGTTATATAATATATGGTACCTTCATTTCACATGTGTTATCTGCATATAATTTAAGTGAATCAATGCATCTGAATGATTCTGACATGTCAATGTTGCATCAAGTTTAGACATAACATCCCATATATTTATTGGCACAACCCAAAATCCCTAAATTATCTTTATCTTAGAAAATATCTGTAGCACATTAAGGCCTTGTTAAGACAAGAGCCTACCAATAAACTGCCTCCAAACATGTATTGCTACAGGCAAGTGCGGATTTTTGTTTCTGTAGAATTTGGAAAGGAAGCCTTAAGGGAAAAAGGAGTACAACAAGGCAAGCTTGTGGTTTAGTTTTGTTTGTAGTACCCAACAATCCAACATGGGCAAATTAAAATGAACTTGTGCAATGCCTCCCTTCTTATTAAGTGCTAAGAGTTGATGAAGCTTCTCCTACTTCACAAAGGACAGGAAGTTTTGTTTCTTGTTTTTATCTAGATTTCACAAGCTGTTATTTCAATACAATTCCTCTCCACTTCATCCTGCTATCACTCAGGGGAAAATCTATCACAATCTACATCATACAGCCCTCCTACATCTGAACTGCAGTGGGCAAACGATCTGCTTAAATATGGTTGTCTGGCTTAGAAATTTCCTTTCAAAGCAGCATTCAGGTCACCTACCATGATGCCTTTTATCAACCAGTTTAGCCCTTTAGGCTTTGGTGTTGGTTACACAACCTTGTATAATCTCAATAGGCTAAGCAGGCAACCCTGGTTAGTACTTGGATGGGAGACCACCAGAAAATGTCAGGGCTGTATGATAGATGGGGAAACAAAAAGATTGCCCCAGAAGGCAGACATGGCAAATCACTTCAATATTACTGCCAAGAAAATTACATGGGTGTGTCCTTATAATTAAGAATTGTGCCTGACTCAAGGGAGTCTTTACTGTATTGTTCTTTCATTGCTTTCATGCTATGATAATGTTCTTATTTACATTTTTAAAATTTTTATTTACTGTAGTTTTAACTTCTTGAAAGCTGTTCTGGGAACCTACTGAAGTGTGGAATATAAATTAAACAAGTATATAAATATTGTAAGCAAAAAAGCAAACTATTGATTTGAGATGGCAAATAGGCATGGAGCCTGCAAAAGCTTACACTGATTCCATTATTAAACCAGCAAATTAATTCACTGAGTCTTGAGAGATGGAATTTGTATTTTTATAAGCCGTGATGCACGAAACGATTTTTCTTGTCCATTTTCAAATACAAATAATCATATTGTTAGAATACTACTCTATTACATGAACGAACTCTATTACTTGAACAAACTTGGGATCCTGAAATGAGACAAAGCTTTATTTTTAACTAATGTGTGGGATCACTTTTCCTTTTAAAGAATACCCTGGAGCAATGTCAAGTTGTTATCTTTTTGGCAGCTGCTTAAAATTCTAAACCAACAACCACACCATGAAACCCAGACTTTTGCTGATATATATGCTTTTTCCCAGGCCCCTTGGCCAATGTGAACGAATGACTCCAGTAAAAGAACTATGGATTATTCTATCATCTGTCATTTTATCAGCCTTTTTCAACTAAAGCAACTTAACTGTAATAACAACCAAATGCAACGGTGTAATTTGCAGATTGCAAGGAAATTTATGGCACACTCTAAGTGGGCACTTAAATAAGCTGCAAGTATCTGACCTCCCCCAGTAATGTTAAAATAAAAGATAAAGGAATAAGAAACGATGATGTCTTTCATAAAGAACTCAAGGCAATGACCTCATTGACATATACCAGTAAACAGTGACAAATTTTATGAGGATGAGCTGCAGTCAGCTTCAGGCTCACATATTCCCATAGCAATGATGCAGTAAGAAGCTTCGGAAGTTTTGCTCCCATCTTAAGTTAATCATAGTTTTCAGCAATATCTTCATCCCGATATTCCAGGTTCATATGACAAATTCAGCCACAATGTTAAAACAGAAAGAGACGTTCCCTAATATTCTGTTTGTGGCTATGTTGTCAGATAAAAATATTAACCCCCCCAGCTTTTTTTGCAGTTCATCCTTGTTACCCTGAACTACAGATGCCCGAGTGTTATTTTCAGCACATCTCCATCTGTTGTGGACAAAGGTCATCCTCCATGCATTCTGACTGGAAAGCTCTTAATTACATTTACGTTGTAACTACAAAGTAATCCTGTCAAACACTTGACTCCATTTCTCTCCCTTTTCTTCTCTCCATATCACCATGTTTCATGGAAAAATCCACTGATAAATGGCTAGGGCAAACAGGGACATCCACGTTGTGGGGAGGGTGTCAAAAAAGTCAGGAAGGGAGGCTTCAACTGTGGAAGTGCCTGCCATCTTGACTGTTTTTTTTACCCTGTGCCCTGAGTGCAAGTATGCCCTGGATATCTCTCCTCACATCCGCTACCTGTTTTCTCTTAGCTTTATTGTTTAAGGGTTGCACTTAAGCTGCAAAGGACCACTGGTTTGCTCTGTGATTAATATGACTCCCAAAGTAGTGGCCACATGCCAAGCTTCCATAAATTACACATAAGAAACTTTGAAACTGTATCATCAGAGATCAGAGGGAGCAGGCAAATGTGAGTGTGTTGGGGTTGCCTTTATGCTAACTCTTTATCATGACTTAGCAAAAGGGCAACTTTTTTTCTGTTGGGGGCCACATTTCCACAGGAATAATCTATGGGGGGGGGCTTTCTTCTGTTTGGTACTAACACTCTCTAATCTCTCTCACTTGGTTTCCATACGTTAGGCTACAATGGAAAGGATATTCTTGCCCGAGTTCAGAACTTGCATGTGGTCCTGGGGCTGAAGATTAAACACCCCTGATTTAGTGTGATATATGAATTGCAGCCGTTGTCACAGTATTTGCAAATAATCATGTCTGTTGTTCAGCATCACTCTGAAACACACTTATTAAACTCAGTCTAAATTGCTAAACCGAGGCTGTACTTCGCTTAGTACAGACAGTTCCCTACTTGCAAACTTCCATGTTGTGAACTTTCACTGATACAAACAGGATGAACCCAGAAGTCAGAACCGGAAGTTGAGCTGGAAGTCAGAACCGAAGTCAGGAGAAGGTGGGAAAGGGTTAGTTTCCCACCTTCTCCAGCATTCCATTTGCATTTGAGGTTTGGATTGAAGTTGGAGTTCTGAAAAAGGGTTAGTTTATGCGGTGCGCTCTGTTGCCGGGTGAGGCAGGAGAGGGGGTGGTGGCAGAGGACAGGGGAGAGGGGGCAGAGGTCTCCTGCCTTGCCTGGCAATGGAGCACGCTGCACCTCACCGGCCCTGCCTCCTGCCTTCACCTCTTTTTTTTTTTTTTTTGGACTTACCGACAAAACGGACTTACGAACATCCTCTTGGAACGCAACCTGTTCGTAAGTAGGGGACTATCTGTATGGTCACAGATTTTATCTAAAGCAGCCTGGCTGAATCTATGTGAGTATACTGGACTCTATTATCTGTGTTACTTTAAATGTTCAGTAAATAACACTGTATGTAACTTGAAGTACAGATTTAATATTGGTTATGTTTATAAATCTTAGAACTTCACTGTCTTTGGTAGAATGATAATTATTTTTTATAATTTCACTATGTATTGCCAATTTCAAGTGGAAACAGGTAGCCAACCTTGACTAATCTCAAAAAAGCCAAGGAGGATTGGATTTTGTTAGTACTTCAGTGTAAGATCAGCAGGAAATCCAAGGTAAATTGAGGTTTTTTTCCTAATGTTTTAATACTGCCAGCAAGAAAATGTACATGGGTGTATCCATGTAATCACCAGGAGGCAGCTTTAACTCAAGGAAGTATTTACTTTTATCCTTAAATATCTAAATTAAAAATAGTATTCCAATAGTACATCAAGAACAATATTTCTACTTATGATAAGGAATATTTGCCAAGAGACTGGGCACTTTCTATGCTGAGTTACCGACACTAGAAAACTAAATCCTGAAAGAAAAGGAGCAATTGTGATTTTGCTTTTCCCACTTAGAAATAGCTATTTGAACTGAACAAAGAAGTTCACCTTTGGCAACAAGGAGCTAAGCATTGATGTCATATGAATTAAAAGTATATTACTATCTCATCATTAGACTTCCCCGTTAACTAGTTTCTTAATGGCTGTAAAGCTTTAACTAGAGCTTTTTCAGCCACAGGAATACCCTTGTTCATTGCACTGTATTTAGATATATATGGCTCTGAAACTAAAATAGCACACTAACTGATCTTCTTTCTCTGGCCTGGGATAGCTTATGTATGATTTTTCAAGGCTTTGCATTACTTTGTGAAAAGGTTCAAAGATATTCCATCATTATGGAACATATCCAATTAACCTACTGCAACTTAAAAGCAATGTGCATCAGCCCCAAAGCAAGACTTCCATTCCAGCATAGCTTTTAAGCCTAAACACTTCTTTCATTCATGTTAACAGAGAAACTGATCCAATCCATTGAGTTCATAAAGAATATCACTAAAAGAGCATTCCTTACCTTGTTGTAGTACTGCACCTGGACAGCATGCCACTGCCCATCACTAACCCCGCCTGGAACAAATGGTGCAACTGTTGTGGTGGTTTCTCCTAAAAAGTAGCGTGGAAGAGGGGAAAAAAAGAGTTCATCTTAAAAGTTCCACTTTTAAAACATTCATTTTTTTCAGTTAACAAAGATATTAATCTTATTTGGTGCAGATGGCAGCAAAATATATTAAGCATAATAAACAGATTAATATTTGATTTCCAAGCTGAATCCACTGAATGTCTGTATGCATGTACTGTACATTGTTCCCTCAATATATGTGTGTATTAATTAAGACAACATATAACCAAGCCTTCCAATAGAATTATGTTTTTCAAGACAGTTTACACCAAGTTAAATATTTGGATTAGAAAAGGTGTAGAAAAATAATTTTTAAAAAGAACAATTAATAGATAAAAGCAGCTTGAAAATGATTCTGAGTTTGGCAGATCAAATGGAACAAAAAAATCTCAGCCAGGCAACAAAAGGTCAAATGAACCCGCTCCATTTGGCAGAGAAATCTCAAGTCTTGGTGTGACCTTTTCCTGCCATCTCCATCTCCATCACTGTCAAAACACAGAGAATAAAATGTCTTGTCTCCAGAAACAAAGATATAGACAGGGTCGTATGTGATAAGATGCAAAACTCTGACTATGACAGCAATGCACTGGAAGCCAATTCATCTGTATGGGAATAGGAATATAGCAAGTTCCCAGTGATGAATATGTACTTACATCTTTGCTGCTATAAGTCTTTACCAGCTGAAGTTTCAAACACAGTCCCGTATCACAATGACTTTGTGACTTCTTTTTGAACGGACAAAATCTGATACACTACCCTAAACTGGGCAAAAACAACTGTAGGCTATAGCTTTTAAAACAGCTTCCAGGGCTAAATATGAATTTAGAAGTACTTCCAGCCTGCAAAACGTTTTTCAAGGGGACTGCTATGTATTGAATACAATAGGAGAAATGTAAATACAAGACATCAGTGGGGACATATAATATACTTACACTTAGAAAAGCATTTGTTCCCACTTAAATTCCATTTGAAATTAATAACAACATTAGTTGTAATCTGGCATAAACAGTGTTAATGTCAACAATAAACAAATTATGGCGATTATAAGTATATATACGTAAAAATGTATATTTCTAAGGTGTCCATGTGCTGTCGCAATTGTTAACCCTCAAATTTTAGCAAAAGAATGAAAACTAATCATATGTAAAATGTAAATATTTAGGATAAACCCAGAAAGTGAAAACAGCTGTAAACTTACAAAAAGAATATGCATTTCTGTGGGTTTTCTTCAGGCTGGAATCTTACAGGAATGTCAGATAAGGTGTTGAGGGAACAAAGAAAACATTTTTCTTCCCAGAAAATTACAGAAGTTCTACCCCTGCATTGAATGACATTGCTTCCTTTCTTTCACATTGAAATGTCTTTTAAAGATTGGATTTGATAAAGCACAAGGTGCCAGATTAGTTATGCAGACTAGTACAACCAGCCCAGTGACTATTCACGGCTTTTCTGAGGTAATAACAAAACAAATATCTACAGGAAAAGTACACAAGGACCTGTCAAATGGGCAGGTTGGGTTTATCATGAGTGACTAGCTGAACAAAAGTTTCCACTAAAGAAGAATAAGAAAAGAAAAAAATGGTAAGAACAACAATGTATATAATAAATGACTCTGTATTTCCACCTGTATTCATGCAAACATTTACTTCAGTTTAACACACACACCTGCTTGGTTCATACAGAAAAGTGTTAAACTGAGAAAGGAACACAAACATTTCCTCTGTTAAAGATGGTGAATATAATTACTTCTGTGTTGTTTGTTTTTGTGAGCATTTCAGGAGGAACACCCACTATTTTTCTTTAAGGAGTATTTTACGTCTCAATAAAAGTGAAATTACTTGTACCAAAGGAAACTTTAACATTCCATTTCATTAATGGTCACAAAAATAATTTTCTCCTTAATGCGATCTCACAAAAGCACATGTTTGTTTCTTCCCCCAAAAACTGTTATAATGTCTGAATGTCCTTTTGCAGTTGTAATTATTCAAATGCAACATATTGCACTGTGAGCCCATGGAAGCTATTATTACTGAGAGCTTTAGTGCCTTTCAAAATTATCCTAAGTTCAAAATATGTTCTATTTTCATACAAATAATGTTTCTCAACCTTGGCAACTTGAAGACATGTGGACTTCAGCTCCCAGAATTCCCCAGCCAGGGAGTTGAAGTCCACTTGTCTTCAAGTTGCCAAGGTTGAGAAACACTGATCTAGATGGATTTTTAATCTATATTTGCATGTGAATTAAATGTAAACATGTATGCCACACATTTTGTCAATGAGTAATTAAGAAAAAAAACCACTCCTAAGTCACCTTAACTAATAGATTACAATAATTGCTGATATATGAGTATGAACAATAGTATCTATACTAAAAAAACAAAAAAAAAAACCAATTAAATGGAGCTGAAACAAGCATTGCAATGTGAATGAAAATATCCTCTGCATCCATGATGGCTGAAGGCATTACTGTAGAAGAGTCAACTAAAGACATTCTCAGTTTCAGCTCAGTTGTTGGTAACTTCATGGACATGTCTATGTTGCCTTCTTGATAACAGTGGAAAAGCATTTTGCCATTGCTTTAGACCAATGTTTCTCAACCTCGGCAGGTTTAAGATGTGTGGATTTCAACTCCCAGAACTCCCCAGCCAGCAAGGAATTCTGGGAGTTGAAATCCACACATCCTAAACCTGCCGAGGTTGAGAAACACTGCTTTTAGACCAATGTCTCCAAGTATTTCTCTGATCTGACTTGGTTAGCTTCTTGAAATAAGCCATGGTCAGTTAGATGCTGCCACTTTGCTGTGATATAAACAATGGAGTATGATTATTTTTTCTGAGAGCCAGTTTGGTCTAGTGGTTAAGGCTCCAGGCTAGAAACCAGGAGACTCTGAGT